GACAGGCAGGTAGACACACAAGTGTCAATAAAGCAAGACATTGAGTTTTGTCTGTGACAGCGACATATCTATATCACAGTTAGAAATTGTGTCAACACTAAATGATGACATTGCTTTTAGTATCGAACTGAGAAAGTGACTCGGTAAGAAGAACGTGTGGTGAAATAGGCAAATGAAATTATATAAACAGTTTATTTACTGTCATAACATATAAAAAGCTCGCGCCTGTGAGATATCAACAAAACATTATGAAAATAGCTCACACCAAAGCCTTCACCGAGTATTCACCAGACAGCCCGCTTCCAAGTTGCGAGAACCTATTTAACTGCGCACGTGCTATGAGCGCAGCCCAGCTGTTGAAACCCGTATTCCCCAGAAAAGTCTGGGGAAAATTAGTGAAACGTTTGAACTCCGATTTCGCGCGTTTTTTTTCATCGCGTTATTTTTCAACTTTATAAGTTGAATTTGCATTTTTGACGCTTTGTTTCGGTAAGTCCATACCGAAAGGTATCAGAATCTGCAAAGTTGTGTTTTACGTTGCATGTGACCTTTAAACAAGATTTGTACTCGGCCCGAAGTTTTTCTTGAATCTGGGCATTCTGGAGCTTGTCTCGAACTTGCATTCCAAGATAGGTGTAGGCCTGATCTTCCACAAGATGCTCAATGACTCCTCCCCGTTGTAACCTGACCGATCCATCATAAGTTACCTTGCCTCGTTTCAAAGGAAGAGTATTACATTTGTCGAGTCCAAATGTCATGCCAATATCATTAGAAAAGGACTCGACAAGGAGAACCTGCTCTTTCAAATTGGAATCTCCTTTGGCAAGGAGCTCGATGTCATCCATGTAAAGGAGATGAGTAAGAGGTGTTGGGGATCTGTGCTGAGGAGGTCCGGGATGGTAACCCTCCTCTTTATTGAGCAGAAAGCTCAAAGGATTTAAAGACAGACAAAAAAAGCAAAGGACTAAAGGAATCCCCTGAAATATTCCCCTTCTGATTGGAATAGATTCCGAAGTCTGCACCTGACCTTGCGAGTACATCTCAAGTTGAATCGACCAGCAACTCATTAAAGACTTCAGTAAATCAAGTAGTCGCTCAGGGAGGTCAATACAATGAAGAGACTTTAGAATCCATTCGTGAGGGACAGAGTGGTATGCTTTTTTGTAGTCAATCCAGCACATGGAGAGGTTGCGGTGATATGTTTTAGCCTCTTCCAAAATCATTTACGGTACAAGAAGTTGATCCTTGCACCCCCAACATCCCTTTCTTGCTCCCTTCTGCTCCCTGTAAATTATATCATTGGAAGAGCAGTAAGATGACACGAGGTTTGTCAAACACCCTGTGAATATTTTGTATTGTGTATTCAAACATGTGATAGGGCGGAAGTTTTTGGGATCAGTCAAGTCTCCTTTCTTGGGGGGAAGTATTGTGCGACCTTTGCAGAACCATGGAGGAACTTCAGGCACAGCTCTATCCAGGAAATGTATTTTCTAGTTTCCGTTCGTTTTATTTGAAACCGTTTTTCTTTGGTGTATTGTTCTTAGTATTAGATGTTTTTTCTTTGGAAACTGTGTGAATTTCCTCCAAGGTTCGAGTGGCAGCATAGATACAACAATTAACTTCATGTAATGAACAGTCCGATGAAAGTTTCATAGAAATAATATCATTTAATAAATTGATTTCATTTTTGGGGAAAGATTCATTTGTTTGTTTAATTGGCCTCCGATTTTCTAAAGGTATGCCAGATATTTCATCATAAATAGAATGAAACAAAATATACACAGGATTTTCGGAAAGATTTGCAACTGAGGAAGAGGAAGAGTGATGGTCTGAAATTTCGGGGCCAATTGGCTCTATGCCGGAAGAGTTTCCATCAGCAAGATGAAAGAGGTTGACACGGACATCCATTAGAAGTTTTGGGTCTGCTGCCAGTTGAGCATTCTGTTCATGCAAAGGTTCCTGACGGGCACCAGTTGTGGGTTGAACTGGCTCACGGGGCAAGAGATTTTTAACCCGCCGGAATTGATCTCGGAGATTTTGCTCCGTCAGGTAAGCATACATGGGCATGGCATTGTCCCAATGCAGCTTCAGCGACTTGCCATTGATACGTGGATTTTCAGGCCATCCTGTCGCTCTCGCACACTCAAGTAGTGTGGTTTTAAGGTGGTTTGACCAAGATATTCTAGGCCCACCACGGAGAGGCGTACATCATCAGGCCCATATTATTATTATTATTATTATTATGATGATGATGTTTTACAGATTAAAGATAGTATGCAGCAGAGAGGGTTCGGGCCTGGTCGCGGCACAGTCAAGTTGGTAAGGCTCATCATCAGCTCAGGGCCCTCGCCCCCTCTACACGCAAGCCCAGACAGCGAATGGGACTTCTCCCAAGAAATGCTGCCTAGTCGAACCCACCAAGAACTTTCCGGAGAAAATGTAGACTCCCCAACACTGCAGCCTTCTGCATTACCCAGAGTGTCAGAAGGGCTGTGCTCCCGGTGGAGAACCCAGGCACTCTCCCGATCTGCTACAAGAGATCAGGAGGTACCAAACCAAGGGCACCGAGAACAATGGGGAGCCTGACGACAGTGTACTTGGGATGCAAGAAAAACATTTCAAAGGCGAGGTCTGCATATTTATCTTGCTTTTCCTGAATCTTGCCAATCATGTTGTTGTCAAAAGGGACAGAAAATTCAATGATATAAATAAATTCACAAGATCAGGTTTGTTGGCTGGAATTCTTCTGAGGCTGTATATAGGCCTGTTCCACAGAAGTTTGAAATCATTATTTTCCATGACACCCTGGGCTTGTTCAGGGTCGCACCATGGGTGGACCTTGGAGTCAAAGCCACAGGCATGACGAAGACAATAGTAGAAACAACGAGCCATGCCATCATGTCGTTTAAGGTATGCTGTTTGTGCCAAGGAAGGGCATCCACTGACAAGGTGTTGGACTGTCTCTGTAAATTCATTACACAGTTGGCATTTCATGTTTATATTTTCCTTAATACCCCCATTTCACTGGGCTACGACCTATCAAGACTACCCCGACTAGTGCTGATTCGTCACCTACGATGTTACCATTCTCAATCGGCCAGTTGTTGTTATATTTTCCTTTTTTCTACGCAGTATCTACGGTAAATCTATGTAAAAGACGATGAAGAGACTGTAGACTTACGTATAAATACTGATAACTCTGCGATTGAGCACCCGTCGTTGATACGATTGTTTATTTACGATATCGAAGACTCATTGCCGTAATTGTCGATTACAGGGGAAGATTACCGATAGAAGCGGTGTAAAGTACATATAATTGCCGTGTAAGACACGTAAAATCGGCCTCCAAACCACAAAATGGTCCTGATTCTGGGCTATAAAAGCTGACGATGACAGCCGATTGTCATTATCTAGCAGCATGCTCACAGCTGCACAACTACTTCTCCTGCTGCAACAACATGTGGGATTGGAGATAGATATCTATCCATACGGAGGAACCAGGCACCAAAATGAGGTTGGAAAGTAGATTGAACTTTGGAAACTATGACAATCTCCTATCTGAACTCAGATTCGAAGACACGTCTTCTTTCTTCAACTATCTGCGTATGCCTCCTGATATGTTTGATGAACTGCTTAATTCCCTGTCTCTCAGACTTAACAAAAAAGACACCAACTTCAGGAAAGCTCTGCACCCAGGTCTGAAGTTAGCAGTTACCATAAGGCACCTAGCCTCTGGAGACAATTCCCCCTTCCTCTCCTACCACTCAGAGTGTTGAGACACACCATAGCCATCTTTCTCACAGAGGTGTGCCAAGCCATTGTAGACCACTACAAGGATACAGTGATTGCATGTCCTGTCACTCAAGGGGATTGAAAGACCATCAGTCTGGAATTCGAGCAGAGATGGAATCTCCCTCATGCTGTTGGTGCCCGCGATGGAAAACACATCGCGATTCGTAAGCCACCTGGTAGTGGAAGCCTCTACCACAACTACAAGGGTTTCTTCTTCATTGTCCTGTTGGCCCTTGTAGATGCTAATTACAGATTTCTATGGGTGGACGTCGGAGGCCTGGGTCATATGTCAGATGCACAAATCTTCAATGCCTCAGAGTTGAATGAGTGTTTAGACGATGGCAGCATATGCTTGCCCGAACCTGAACCATTGCAAAATGATGATCTGGATATGCTTTACTTCATACTTGCAGATGATGCATTTGCCCTTCGTCAATATCTAATGAAACCGTACTCAAGAAGAGGTCTGTCGGAAGCTGAACTGATTGCCAACTACAGGATCTCCAGAGCGAGGAGAGTCGTGGAGAATGCCTTTGGTATTCTTGCAAACAGATGGCAATTTCTTCTAAACACTTCGCAACAGGGTCCAGATGTGGTTATGATTATGGTTGAAGCTGCCGTGTGTCTCCATAACATAATCCGAATGAGGTACACTGGGTTGCAAGAAAACATGGTGGATAAGGGGGATGCTGAACACAACCTCATCCCTGGGCAGTGGCGTGAAACAGCAAATATGCATGACTTGAAAGCTGTTATGGGACCAAACAGAGACACTGTCGAAGCTAAAAAGCAAAGAGAATACCTGAAGCTGCATTTCAACAGTGACTCTGGTGCAGTGCCATGGCAACATGCTATGGTCCAACCCAAGAAGGTGTGAACTGAGATTGCTGATGTTTGAAATGACATTTGATACTGATGTAAAAAATGACGATCCCTGTGTTTTATGTTCCACATTGTTTTTTGTTGTGTTTTATTGTATGACTTCGCTGGTATTATGTCAGAAAAAGGTCAAGTCGCACTGTGACATTGGTGATTTAAACCTAACTTTTCATCCTTATCGGCTGTACAAGAATGTTTTAGATGAATATCAGCATCTCATGCTCATATATTTTGATGTACAAAATATCAACATTCATAGATAAAGTAGAACACTTTAGTGTCTGCTTAACAAAATTAACATCTAAGCACAAATGGAAGAGGGTTTAATATTAATCTGGAACAGAAAACATATACAATATATAATCACCATGTTTTATTACACGCCCAGTTCAAGTCGTTGAAGATATCACTGCTTTGTAACATTGCGTGCTGCCGAATGATGTGACGATAGTATTTATATCTAACTCGCCTTCATTCGTTGGATACCACAGCAGGCAGGCAGTTCATGAAACTGGTATTACACGGGGCCGAGTTCAGTGTTTTCTATATATGTCACGAGTTTCATGTCATGTTATTGTGATGAACGTAGTAAAATACTTCCTTCTTACTTTAGTAATAATCCGAATATGTACAAACGTATATCACTTATAAAATCAAATTATACCCTGTCTTATTAAGCAATCACTTTTTCTAAATCTGTTTACTTTAGTCTTTTCTAAACCAATATGTTATTGTATTATGAGTGTAATGTGTTCTATATCATTTTCTATGATTTATGAGAATACAATTCTCAATATAATATAGGAAAACAACAGAGCATTTACACATGAACACAAAACCGATGAGAAAATGAACAAGAAATCAACAGTTCAACACATCTCGAGACCGTTCACATATTTGTAAAAGTTCAAACATCACATATTGTCTGGGTCCTGGTCCTGGGGCGGCTGAGGTGTGTTCAGTGTGTCGTCCTTGGTGTACCTTCTGATAACTCTTGACAGGTTGGAAAAGGTGGAGTCGAACCGGTCTTTGACGCCACTGGTGGGTGTACTGGTGCAAACCACAGTTGGGCAACTGCCAGGCCTTTGTTGCTGTGACGTCGACTGGGACTGAGGTTCTGCAGGTGATGCGACCGGGCGTTGCTGCTCTCCACATTGTTGCTGCTCTCCACATTGTTGCTGCTCTCCACATTGTTGCTGCTCTCCACATTGTTGCTGCTCTCAACATTGTTGCTGCTCTCCACATTGTTGCTGTACCCATCTGGCGTCCTGGGAGTGCCAGACAGACACACTGGGACAGCCTATGTGCTGTGGCCATTGGGAAGGTGCTGGCTGCCAATACTGCTGTTGAGGACCCTGGCTATCACATCCGTACTGGAAAGAATGCTGAGGGTGAATTTGTGGCAGTGGCTGCTGCAAATAATTAGCTGGCTGTGCTGTCTGCTGGCTGGCTTGCTCCCTGGACTCCTGCTGCTGTCTGTAACGCTCGAGTAGGTTCCAGATATCACTCTGGGCCTTCCTGTAAAGGTCTCTGGGTAGAAGACCAGCCGTAATGCAATTGCAGAAAGTGTTCCTCTCCCTGTCGTTGGTGGGCATGACAGTGTTGAAGAAGGCCTCTCATATCTTCATAATTCTGTCCTGTCACTCTTGCAACTGGGCTAAGTCTGGACCGCCGCTCCTGGGATTGGGCTTCCCTCTGGTCGAATCTGTGAGAGTGGACGGTGTGGAGACAGGCGTGGTAACACTGGGGGTTGTCTGAGTCTTTGGAATTTCTTCAAAGATTGGTAGGATATCATCTGCAGCAGATGTGGCGGTTTGGGATTTTTTTCACCCCAGCAGCTGCAGCAATCTTTTTCTTGAGGGACACCATATTACGTCTCTGGACCTCGATTATATGTGGACAGAGGAAACTGAAGCTGTCATAAATCCACTGGTTTCTCTCGGAGAGTTCCACATCCCCCTCCCCCGACTTGGTCCGTTTCAGCCTGCCTAGCCTCGTCCTGATGCTTTCGTACCAGGTCTTTATTTCCGCAACTGTCCTATGAAGCTTCTCTGCCTGATCCAGCCACAGTTTCTCTTTCAAGGGTCGTTCTGTCAACGCTCTCAACTTTTTGTTGTAGAGGCAGGGGTTGTCTCGTATGAAGTCGACCATGTCTGTCTCTTCAGCTGGGGTCAGCTTCACCACTACCCTCGGCTTCTTGGCGGAACCCACAGCAGTGTCTAAGTGCTCCTCCATTGATTGTGGAGGCTCGTCCTGAGAGAGCGCATCCTGGCTGTCTTCTGGTGGTCAGGTGGGTGATCTCACCCTCTTCCTGTTGGCTGATCACTTTGTTCTTGCCATGTTTCAATGTTTCCATTACAGCAGTTGAAGTGATATTGACTTTGATCGCCGGTGCTTTTATACCTTTGCTGTCAGTCTGATGTGAATCGTACAAATCGTGAGTAAAGCGTGAACATTACGTAAGTGGATCGTGAGTAGTATATACAATGATAGTCCGTGATCACTTTCAAGAAAGGTCGCTGTAAAGCTTTATTTCACCACCATTGTATATACTACTTTTGAATCCCCAGTTAACTTCCCGGCCACACGAACTAGCACTTTCCTGATCATGTGACACTATGTCGTGTTGACCTCAATGAAACAGTTTAATGTGAATGAGCTGGTTACAGGATATTATTGGGAATACTTACTAGAGCCTTAAAATCTGTAGGGTGACATGAGTTTCGGCAACCCCAATGCAATGGAACCCCCCCAAAAAGCCCAACGTTTCAAGATTTTCCAATTAGACATTTGGTGCCGAAGTAGGTATACAGCAACCTATCTATATTTCCAGAAAATATGGCAGCCGAAGCAACTTTCGAAAATATGGGCTTGCGATCCGAAAAAAGCGGTGGCATACCACCTCCTACTGGAAAATACCGTGGGAAGCAATCTTCTACCGGACATTGCCCGTGTAGACTATCTCGATGGCAATCTAGGCAAAACAAACCTCCAACCACTGGAAGGCCTACCTACATTTGTGGACGATATATACGTATTTGGCTATCTTCGGCGAAAAGACTGTGTCTATAGAAAAGGAGACGTGTATTGCACCATCGGAGAAAAAGGAACAGCATCTATTGTAGTTTCCAATATAGCGAATGCAGTACGCAAATCTTTCGAGCAAGAGGAGGGCTATGTGCAAACCAAAATCCTACATATGCTACAATATGCCATAGATGCCCCCTCTGCAATACGGAGCACTGTACGAAGGATCCAGAAAGAAACCAAATGTGCAGCAAAGACACAATGGGAATCTCTACACGTGGACGACCCAATATTCGGAATATTCGTAGCAAAAGTGGATGTCTCGGAAATACCCATAGAGCGAATACAAGCTAATATTTCCAGATTCGAACGATTTCTGTTGGTACATGGCTATGGCCTGTATTCTATCGACTATACAAGGGATTTCTCCGGCACCCTAGATAGAAAGTGTCTCGTGGAATACCTCCAAAGGATACACGACTTTCGAAACCAAAGAGATCTTGCAACTGCCATGGACTGCGAGGGACCCACCATCCTGGGCAATAGGCAAATGTAGGCAACCACGTCTGTACTTGTTTTGGAACCTGGAATGGCTATACCATGCGAACAAAAATCTACAACAAAGTAGTTTCCAATTTCAAAGCAGGAGAAGTGCGAGAACACATCGGTGGCCATTTGGCCGACTATGCGGATCGTCCAACGAACACCTGCGGAAAACCTTTTCTCCATCCAGATGTCCAGGCTAGAGGTTGTACTCGCATAGAGGTCTCTTTGTACGCGCATAAAACCAACACCGCAATGGCCAACGATTTGTGGACGAAGCACTAGAGCTATTCTCGGGAGAAAACCTATTCGTAGTACAATCACTGGCAAAACAGTGGGAGAATCTATCGAAATGACCATGTCTGTCTCTTCAGCTGGGGTCAGCTTCACCACTACCCTCGGCTTCTTGGCGGAACCCACAGCAGTGTCTAAGTGCTCCTCCATTGATTGTGGAGGCTCGTCCTGAGAGAGCGCATCCTGGCTGTCTTCTGGTGGTCAGGTGGGTGATCTCACCCTCTTCCTGTTGGCTGATCACTTTGTTCTTGCCATGTTTCAATGTTTCCATTACAGCAGTTGAAGTGATATTGACTTTGATCGCCGGTGCTTTTATACCTTTGCTGTCAGTCTGATGTGAATCGTACAAATCGTGAGTAAAGCGTGAACATTACGTAAGTGGATCGTGAGTAGTATATACAATGATAGTCCGTGATCACTTTCAAGAAAGGTCGCTGTAAAGCTTTATTTCACCACCATTGTATATACTACTTTTGAATCCCCAGTTAACTTCCCGGCCACACGAACTAGCACTTTCCTGATCATGTGACACTATGTCGTGTTGACCTCAATGAAACAGTTTAATGTGAATGAGCTGGTTACAGGATATTATTGGGAATACTTACTAGAGCCTTAAAATCTGTAGGGTGACATGAGTTTCGGCAACCCCAATGCAATGGAACCCCCCCAAAAAGCCCAACGTTTCAAGATTTTCCAATTAGACATTTGGTGCCGAAGTAGGTATACAGCAACCTATCTATATTTCCAGAAAATATGGCAACCGAAGCAACTTTCGAAAATATGGGCTTGCGATCCGAAAAAAGCGGTGGCATACCACCTCCTACTGGAAAATACCGTGGGAAGCAATCTTCTACCGGACATTGCCCGTGTAGACTATCTCGATGGCAATCTAGGCAAAACAAACCTCCAACCACTGGAAGGCCTACCTACATTTGTGGACGATATATACATATTTGGCTATCTTCGGCGAAAAGACTGTGTCTATAGAAAAGGAGACGTGTATTGCACCATCGGAGAAAAAGGAACAGCATCTATTGTAGTTTCCAATATAGCGAATGCAGTACGCAAATCTTTCGAGCAAGAGGAGGGCTATGTGCAAACCAAAATCCTACATATGCTACAATATGCCATAGATGCCCCCTCTGCAATACGGAGCACTGTACGAAGGATCCAGAAAGAAACCAAATGTGCAGCAAAGACACAATGGGAATCTCTACACGTGGACGACCCAATATTCGGAATATTCGTAGCAAAAGTGGATGTCTCGGAAATACCCATAGAGCGAATACAAGCTAATATTTCCAGATTCGAACGATTTCTGTTGGTACATGGCTATGGCCTGTATTCTATCGACTATACAAGGGATTTCTCCGGCACCCTAGATAGAAAGTGTCTCGTGGAATACCTCCAAAGGATACACGACTTTCGAAACCAAAGAGATCTTGCAACTGCCATGGACTGCGAGGGACCCACCATCCTGGGCAATAGGCAAATGTAGGCAACCACGTCTGTACTTGTTTTGGAACCTGGAATGGCTATACCATGCGAACAAAAATCTACAACAAAGTAGTTTCCAATTTCAAAGCGGGAGAAGTGCGAGAACACATCGGTGGCCATTTGGCCGACTATGCGGATCGTCCAACGAACACCTGCGGAAAACCTTTTCTCCATCCAGATGTCCAGGCTAGAGGTTGTACTCGCATAGAGGTCTCTTTGTACGCGCATAAAACCAACACCGCAATGGCCAACGATTTGTGGACGAAGCACTAGAGCTATTCTCGGGGAGAAAACCTATTCGTAGTACAATCACTGGCAAAACAGTGGGAGAATCTATCGAAATGACCATGTCTGTCTCTTCAGCTGGGGTCAGCTTCACCACTACCCTCGGCTTCTTGGCGGAACCCACAGCAGTGTCTAAGTGCTCCTCCATTGATTGTGGAGGCTCGTCCTGAGAGAGCGCATCCTGGCTGTCTTCTGGTGGTCAGGTGGGTGATCTCACCCTCTTCCTGTTGGCTGATCACTTTGTTCTTGCCATGTTTCAATGTTTCCATTACAGCAGTTGAAGTGATATTGACTTTGATCGCCGGTGCTTTTATACCTTTGCTGTCAGTGTGGCAGGGACATACTTTGTATGTCTGAGTGTTAGGATTAGTTTGCGCCAGTTAGCTTTAAAGTATTGTAAATAATCATTAATTCTCTGTCTTTATTTCAGCATCCAGTAGGCGCTGATATATGCAATGTAAATATGTATTTTAATATATTGCTTTGTTTCAACTCACTACAGTGACTGAAATGAAATAGTTAACAATTCATGTATTTTTAATAAGTTTCTTGATTTCAGCTCATATCAGCGCTGAAACAATTCATATAATTAATCGCTTAGTTTTAGTAACACAACCAATAGTGTCTACCCAACCGTGACAACACGTTACGATTGGTCCATTCAAACCTGCATGCTTTTTCTATGCCTGAACACCTCGCACCCTGACACAACTGACAAAACTTGTGTGAGAGACAGACAAGCATAGGCGTCAACTTAATTTTCATCAGGTTAGTAAACTAACTATCTTAAATAATGTTTATGCATATCTAATGTAGCAGTCATTCAATAAGTAATCTTAAACACATAGCGTATATTAATAAGGGTAATTAAAGCCGTCAGGGTAGTTAACATGTCTTGTAATCGGCACGGCAGGTAAACGCAAAGCTCCCATTTTAATGTGTATTATATATTCCCTTTTAAACATAAACAGCATTAAATAACTTCAAAGCGAGGCATTGTGAGTATGCTTTGTGTATGAATGTTGTCTAATTATTATTATTGCATTTTGCACAAATAATGGCAAAGTGTCTCAATCTAAGATTTTACAGTGTATAAAATATATCTTTCCATGCTTATTGTTATGTCTGCATGGACAGTTTACACTGAATCTGTTTGGTTTTTGATCGCAATCTATCTTATTTCCAGCACACATTATTCCATCGTCTGCTATGGCGGCCAGGCATAAACACGGGCCCCTGTGCCATACATAGGGTATGTAATGTGCCGTACAATACTGTTTATATCATGTGTATATATAATTCTAGCATACAGAATCGTCGTTCCTTTATATTAACCTTCTAAGGTAAATAGTGTATGTTGTGCGGTGATTGCCGCCGATATCATTTATGGCTTTGTTTAAGTCATGTCATGAGTTATCGCCCCTGATCTTTGTAAAGTTCAATCCCTCGGCGATCATTATATTTCCGTAATGTTTTAATGTACAGATAATATTGTCGGCGCTCATGCATTCAAGCTCTATTAACATTTATAATGTTAATATACTGAATATATAAAAATAGATGTCAATGTATGTTCTGCAAGCATGCCGAACATTGTTATTATATTGTTATTATATTGTTGCTACAATTGTTTCAGGGTTTATCGGTATGTTGAAATCTACATCCACTTGGAATAAACAGAACTTACAACCCTGCATTCACTTTGCGTGTCGTCATTGTGACCCTGCTACAAAATGGAGCCCCCAGTGATTTGTGGACTTGAAATAGTTTCAGCGATGGACACTGCCTCTGCCTAGCGACATACAACACCCCTGGTCTACGATCGTCACGTGATGTCTTCACACACACCCCAGGATTCGTCACTTATGTTCGTGTTATTGGACATTCCTATAATACCGCGGTATTGTGACTTTACTTGTTGCTAGCTAGCGTATTGACTTTAATGGCGCCTTGTAGTATTATGTTATGAGCTCATAGATAGTGCATTTTTTCATTTATTTACATTTTGATTAATTTCAAGTAACCTTTGTAAAGTGTTTGTTTACATTTATATTTATATATTTTTTTGGTCGACCATATTGTTTGTTTACATTTGATTTTGTTTACATTTAAATTAGTATTAATAAGTTATTAATTCAGCTGATTTTTTTTCCTAGCTGAAAAGTAATTCAGTGGTGTAATTTGCATTTCTCATATAGTTTTTCACACGGCATTACTGCTTAGTGTTTAAATTATCTTTTCTTAAAAGTTTAGTTAGCAAATCATTTCTTAGTATTCTTAATTCATAGTTAAGTTAGTATACGTTAGTACTTTGCTTCATTATTATTTGCCTTACTTGTGCATTTATGATGAATGGTTGACATGTGTGTTTGTGTTTCCTCTTATTAAGCCTCAACAACATTTTCTCAAATTATTTTTAAATAAAGCTCAGTTAATAAATAACTTAGCTTGGTGACGAGTGACTTGACAAGTAACTTGACGGTACGTTGACAGTTCACCATATTGCACTGCACACATACGCAACAGCACTGTGTTTGTTGTTTATTTCTTGAATTTGTTGATATACATATTTGTTTTCTTTCAGGTAAACAAACAAGCATACGCTTTATTTCACATTATTTTTTTCTTTCAGGTTCCGTAAGTGATTGGTTTAAAGTTGTTATCTTTTAGGTTACAACTTGGCTTCATTATTCGTTTGATTACTTTGCATCCACACTTGTAACCACACTTGTTACACAAACGCTTGCGTACAGAAACATCTTAGCTTAGTTTCTTACACCCTCTTATCAGCAATTAAGTTGCTGGTGGTCACAAATAATTTCGTGGTTTGTGTTTCTCTATACTTGGTATTATCTTCGTTTTACACTTGTGTGTCAACGATGGATTTTACGGATAAGGAGATCCAAAACATGTTAGAAGTGTTTCGTAGGAAGAATGTGAAGCCTACTGCTGATACACCTGAGGAGTTTGAGTCCTGGTTCGATTCCTATGCAGCTCTCAAACAAGAGGATTTGGAGGAAGAGGAATACCATGCAATAGATGGTACTTTGCCCGCTGCTTCTCAGTTGTCTGGACGGTTACACTCAGGGCTGGATTCAAACTATGTTCCTCCTATGCCTGGCACATCTGCTTCAACTACACCGGATCCTCGATTGTTCTACCATCAGTTACCAAAACTTTCGTTCTTCAGTGGAGACTCTGGTAAGGATGCGGACTATGAACACTGGCGATATGAAGTGGCATGCCTTATAAACAAGAGGACTAAGCTCTCTGAAGATGATCTCTATGAGGTAATCCGACGGTCACTGAAGGGAGAAGCTGCCATGATAGCCAGGAATCTTGGACCACAGGCAAGCACAGCTACTTTGCTATCCAAATTCCAGAGTATGTTTGGGGAGGTTGACAGGACAGAGAGCCGGATGTCTAACTTTTATAGTGCAAGGCAGAAGGACAAGGAGTCTGTCTCATCCTGGTGTTGTCGTCTAGAGCTTCTTCTATCCAAGGCATTGGAGAACAATCCGGAGTACATCAGTGTGTCTAGGAAAGATGATATGCTTAGAAACATGCTGTGGAGTGGGTTGAGACCAGAACTGAAGAACCAATCAGGATACAAGTTTGATCAGACGTCAAACTTGAACGATCTCCTCAAGGCTCTACGTGAGATAGAAGTGGATCAGGCCAAGGTGGATGACAGCAACACTTCTAAGCGGCAAGCATCTGTCAAGATGGCTTCCACATCTGAGCCGGAATGGAAGAAGGAGATCGGGAACCTACAGGCCATGATCAAGACATTGACTACTCAGGTTTCGGAGTTGAAGAGTCAAGAGGCCAATCCTACTTTTCATCAGCCAAATCAAGTACACGGATACACCCGGAATAAAAGCAGGGGACCTCGCTTTTCTGGAAGAGAGGGAAGAGGACACGTTAGCATGGATTTCCAGCCTTCAGGATTTGGTTATCTTGAGCCACAAGGATCTATTCCTGAGCCTCAATCCTGTACAGTATCATATGATAACTCATTATACACAGCGACATCTCAGGATCCGTCTAACTTTGAACCTCAACTACCTTATGGACCAAGTGAAAGTGCTCCATACACGGCGTTCAACCAGAATCAACCTCATTATCGACAGAGAAGACAGGATGCTGTGTGTTGGAACTGTGGATATACAGGACATCTTCACTACTCATGTACTGTCAGGACGGATCATAGGAGGAGACCTTTAAACTTTCGCAGGCCTATGGGAAGGGGTCGCCCATAGGTTTTCAGGATTGCCCCACTTCACAGATACCAGATGGACTCGTTGGACATTCAACAGAAGTGGACATTGTTGTGGAGGACATATCAGTTCCGGCACTTTTGGACACAGGTGCCACAGTTTCGGTAATGTCTCAATCATTTCATAGGAGTCATCTTAGTCACATCCCCATTCATCCTCTAGGAGACCTTCTTGATATTGAATGTGCTGGAGGGGAGAACCTGCCCTACCTTGGATATGTGGATGTTGTAATACAGACCATCGGTTCTTCCATTTCTTCCAGATCGTGCCTCCTTCTTGTAGTTCCGAGACCCAGTACAACTCCCAAGTACCAGTGCTCCTTGGAACCAATGTGCTCAAACCTCTACTGGAAGAGTGTAAGACTTTGTATGGCACCAAGTTCCTACAGAAAGCAGAATTGTTTACACCATACTATTTGGCATTTAGGACCATAGCACTACAGGAGAAGGACATCCGTCGGAACAACTGGAGACTTGCCTATGTCAGGAGTTGTGAACCAACAGGTGTTTTGATTGGACCAAATAGCAGAGTAGTGATCAAGGGTCAGCTAACGAAAGCACTGCAGTTTCCCAAGGTTTGTGCTCTACTGCAACCCACTGTTGATAGTAGGATCTCTCAGGACCTCGACATAGCTCCTATTGTTGTGGATTATGATGCCAATTTTCCAGGGATTGTTGATGTGCACATCTCTAACGTGACTACCAGGACAGTTGTTGTGCCACCTAAAGCCCTCCTCTGCGAGTTACAACCAGTCTCTCTTGAGGAACCTGTCACAGGTTTGCCAGTGGATAAAGACACTCTCTTAAAGGACATTGATGTTGAGTTGAAGGATCTCACTGACAGCCAGATCGATCAAGGACTTGGACTCATCCTCAAGTTTCAAGACATTTTCTCCAAGAGTGATAACGATTTGGGACATTCCTCTGCTGTGAAGCACAAGATCAACCTAACAGATGCTGCACCATTTAAACAGAGGCACCGACGAATACCGCCGTCCATGTATGATGAAGTTCGAAGTCACTTGACTCAGCTACTTAGTGCTGGAGTCATACGCAAGTCTCATAGTCCCTGGGCCTCGAACGTGGTACTCGCACGCAAGAAAGACGGCAAGCTGCGCATGTGTATGATTTTCGCCAGCTCAACAAACAAAGTATCAAGGATTCCTATGCCCTGCCAAGAATAGAAGAACTTTTGGACCACTTAGGTGGAATGAAGTACTTTTCCGTGCTGGACATGAAAAGCGGTTACCACCAGGTAGAGTTGTACGAGGAGCACAAGGAGAGAACAGCCTTCACAGTTGGTCCTCTAGGCTTCTACGAGTTTAACCGAATGCCCTTTGGTCTCTGTAATGCCCCAGCTACATACCAGCGTCTCATGGAGGAGTGCTTTGCCGGTCTGAACCTAAATATCTGCCTGATATATTTGGACGACCTTATTATTTTTTTCTCGGACATATGAAGAGCACATGGAGAGGTTGGAACTTGTACTTCGTCGTCTTCAGGAGACAGGATTGAAACTAGCCCCCAAGAAGTGCAAGTTCTTCAAGAGACGAGTAAAGTATGTGGGATACATCATCTCAGAGGACGGCATTGAGACAGATCCAGACAAGGTAAATAAGATCCAAGATTGGCCAACTCCAGCAAACCCAGATCAGGTCAGGAAGTTCCTCGGTTTCGCAGGATATTACCGGAAATTTGTCAAGGATTTCTCTTCGATTGCAAGACCCCTTTCCATGCTAATCCCTCAAGGAACAGTCAAGAAATCCAAGTCACGGAAACCTCTGGAACAAATCAACTGGATTTTTGGGACCAGATCAAGAATGTGCATTTCAGGAGCTAAAGAAACGTCTGACCTCACCACCCATCCTGGGATATGCAGACTACAGGAAGCCATTTGAACTGCACATTGACGCCAGCAGTCGTGGTTTAGGATCTGTACTCTACCAGGAGCAGGATGGTCATCTAAAGGTCATCGCCTATGCGAGCAGGTCATTAAACAAGTCAGAAAGGAATTATTCTGCACACAAGTTGGAATTTCTTGGACTGAAATGGGCAGTAACTGAAAAGTTCCATGACCATCTATATGGAAGCTACTTCGAGGTTGTAACAGACAACAATCCATTGACATATGTTCTAACTACAGCAAAACTTGACGCCACTGGACATCGATGGCTGGCTGCATTATCTGGATACAACTTCACGATCAGATACAGACTAGGGAAAACTAACATTGATGCGGATACGCTGTCAAGACTCCCAGAATTGAGCAAGACGAAGGAGGACCAAATTCCCACAGATTCTGTACAAGCCATCTGCAACCTCGCAAATACTACCAACTTTGTGGAGAGTCTCTGTTTTGCAACCAGTATCACCAAGGAGGATGAAACACCACTGACAGAGGATATATGTGAAACCAATGCGCGAGACTGGAGGAGAACTCAGGGCAAGGATCCAGTCTTATCCATCATCATGGA